AGATATGACGCGAGCGCACCTATCTTGTCCTCCCCTCCTCCTCCTCCTCCGCCTCCTCCGCCTCCTTCTCCTCGCTCCCCCTTCGCTTGCCCTCCTCTCCCTCCCTCCTCCCTCCAGCTCGAGCGCATCGCCTCCCGCCGGGAAGAGCCCCGGCGACCGCCGCAGAGCTCCGGCGACGGGCGGCGCTCGAAGAGGACCGGGGGGGGTGGGCAGGTCAGGCGGGGGACCAGCGCCGATCCTAGAAATCCGCGCGGACCTCCGAATCTTCATGTTCTTGTCATTGTTCGTTCCTCTTTAAAACAGGGCTAGGATCGGGATAAATCGCTCCAGAGCGTTCCGGAGCGCTCTCAGAGCGTTCCGGAACGCTCTGGAGCGGCCGCGGCGCCCAATACATCCTCCAAACCCGCCGATTCTCAGAGATTCCGACTTACCCCGATCCGATGTTGTCCCGATCGTGTCGTTTTACCCTGGTGTCGCCATCGACCTTACAAGGCGATCGAGGCTCGAAGGCCGGACAAGCGTGAGAAGCTACGACTGCGCCAGAGAAAGAGGGGCATAGCCCTGGCATCCGCTCAAGCAGACAGTTCACGCAAACAGCTGCTCATGGCAGTTGCAGAGGGGGGAGGCCCACCTCGGGCGGAGATGGAGCTGTGGGGTGAAAAGCAGGAGCTGTGGGGGCGACCCACGACGGGGAAGGGGAAACCGAGCCACGCGACGCTCCGTCAGAGCGTCGCTGCACGCAAGCGCCAGCATGGTTTGGGCTGGGCACAAGCGGGCGCTCTCCCAACCCAATCCAGCCCCAGAAAAACTTCAGCGCATACGCAGCAACTTTCACCACGCGCATGCCCCTGATCATTGAGCCCGTCGCGCGAAGGTACAGAGGCGCGAGGATAAGAGGCGCGAAGATACAGGCGCGGAGATAAGCGGCGCGAAGATCAGAGGCGCGAAGATACGAAGCCAGCGGCCAGCGAAGATCAGATGCGCGAACATAAGAGGCGCGAGAGGAAGAGGCCCGCCGTTCTCGCCCGAGCAAGCGCTTGTCGCCCAGCCGTCGCGCTGCGAGGGCCGCGCGGCATGCGGGATGGAGGTGGGCTGCCTCTCGCGCCCAGTATGGGAGACCAGAGGCGTTCTGCCAGGCCGTCCGATGGCGATGTTTTGCCTGCAGCTCCCCATGCCCCCCCCCCTCCGGCTCCCCTTTTAAACGCGCTACACTGATATCGAAGACGATTGATTTGTACGCCGACGATGTCACGATTGCGATCGTGGGGACGGCCACTATGATTATTGAGGCGGCTGTCAAGATTTTGACTCTCTTGGTGGATGTCTTGGAAGGGATGGATCTCAACCCCGCCACCCACAAAATGACGATCACGTCGAGTGATCCCCAGGATCGGTCAAGTCGTACAGGGCAGGGTGAAACATCTCGGCTATCGATATGCCGCGGCTGTGGAGGTCTTGGAAACAGAAGTCGCGGCAGGGCGACCGCTTCGATTTTGTAAACTTCGGGGTCGCATTCGAGCCACTAAGAGACGACTTCCTCGCATCTCTACTCTGCGGAAAACTGGGGCAGTAGTCTCACGATATGCCCGGCAGGCGTTGCCGCCGGCCATGCAGTGCGGAGTTGGAGTGCATGGCGCTCCGCCCTCTTTGGCGCGTCAGAGGCGGAGCGTCATGGGAAGTGCGTGGTACGCCCCTGGGGCCTCCACATCATCGTGGATCACCTCCTGCCTCCAGGGCACTCGCTCCGAAGATCCTCAGATAGCTTGTTGGGTCCAACCTGTCTTCCAGTGGGCCCTCCTGGTCTGGGACAAGAACATATCTCGTGACACTCTGCAGCAGGCGTGGGGGAAACAGGTGTTTCGCGCCCTCAAGGCCACCAAGCCCTGGGCAAAGGTGGTAGGCACCACTGGTGCCATGTTGCTTGCTTTGGGAAGTTTGGGCTTGCGCTCCACTTCTGCTTTGTACTTGTCACCGATAAAGGCGACAGAGTTGATCTTCGCACGACAGCACCAGTCAATGTGCGAGACCTTGCCCGCGCCGCTGGTGCGCGACGCCTTTGGGGAGCTTGTGCCAGCAGGGACAACCTAGCGGACCTCGCCATAGATCCCACGGAGCCCATCGGATATTGGATAGAGCCCATCATAGGCCTCCTTAAAGGTGCCCCAAATGCTCCCGAAGAAGACTCTGGTGAGGATCGTCAGGAGGAGGAGGGTATATCTCGGTCGCCGCTCTGGGTTCCTAGTTACGCGGAAGCGGCTATGCTTCGTACTATTGTGAGTGGTGGTTTCTGGTCTCCGTCTCGGCAATACTTGAACGGCTACGCCCGCACCTCCGAATGCCTACATTGCGAAGAGGACCAGCGTGACAGCTACCGCATCTCCTGGGGCTGCAATGGCAGAGCACACCAGCGACATCAGGCAATGGGTGGTGTTGACATGCGCGGGTTCCCCGCAGTCTCGGCGGGGTATTGGTTCTGGACGAGAGGTCTGGCTGCGATATCGTGCTTCCCGCCGCTACCGAGGCGGGGCGATGCGCATCGACGGCACGCGCAGCATGGCTCTCTCGACACGGTCACGGGACAAATCTTCACGGGCGGTGCATGTCAGAAAGCTTGGTTCTGGCCAGAAGCTGCGAGAGCGGGTTGGGGGTTTGCGAAGTTGCAGGACAGGCCAGGTGGCATGGAACGACTGGTCTACGGTGCTCTCCCTGGGCCCTCTCAGAGCTCTCCGCGTGCTGAACTATATGCATTGCTTCAGGTACTGAGCGAATGTATTCCACCCAGTCACGTCCATACGGACTTCTTGGGGATCATAGATGTGCTTGCTGCAGGCCCTGCTTTTACATGTGGGCCTCGCAGGCCCCATACAGATCTATGGACCTCCATCTGGGCCAATCTTGAGGATCTTGGGATCCTTGGAGAGGCCATGCAAGTCACGCGCGTTCGGGGGCACCCATCGGGGGGCTCGTTTGAGGCCCGAGGCAACCGCTGGGCTGACCAGGCCGCGCGGTAGGGTCGGGACCTTCACGCGCCTGACAGCTCAGCTAAGCGAGCGATGCGTGTTGCTTTGAGATCTGTCCGACATGTGCTGCGCTGGCTTGTGACTGCGCACCTGCACCATGTTGGGTCTGGCCGAATCCATACCGAGCCCCGCCCTGACAAGAGAGCTGGGGCGATGCGAGCGTCGTCCCCTGATGTGCCGATAGACCCGAACCTGCGTCACGTCATGGTTAAGACCCGAGAGAATATATGGTATTGTAATGTTTGTAGGGTTGGGGCGAAGACCGAAACTTCGGTGAAGCGGAAGGGCGCCGAAAGGTGCCTGGCCCGTGGTTTTGTCCCTGGGATGTGTAAGGTCGCCTCGGCTCTCCCGAACCTCGGGACTCCTGGTGATCCTCAGCTTTCGGAAGAGGTCGGTAGAGGCGGTGAGCATTGGTCCTCTGCGTCGTCAGGCACCGACGCCGACGGCCGTGCTGCCACTACCTTGCAGCCTTCCCCTTTCCTAGGCTCTCATGGGTTCCTGGACTTCCAAGGGACTCCGCGGGGCAGGGAGGGCCTGCAGCGCGAGCGAGATGGCGAGCCTCAGGAGGCTCGCCATCAACGATTGAAACATACTGACATCAAGACGCGTGAGCGTCCCAGGTCTCCTAGCACGCGTAGGGTCAGGAAGCGAATTGACTTTAATACAACCATTGAGTATAGCTCTCCTGATGCAAGCCTGTTGATGTGGATGCTAGGTCAGCCTCTACAAAGGCCCCTACGCGCCCTGGGCCTGCTTTTGTGCCGAGTGCCAAGCGTCGTCGCACTACCTCTGGACGGAACAATCGGCCCACCAGGGCTGATGAAACCATTCCCGCCGCCCCCGTGCCGTTGCAATGAGTGGTCCCCGCGGAATCCGCGAGAGGCCACCGTCTCTGGGTTTCCGCGGGGCAGGTGGTGTTTTGCGTTTCGTGTGGCTTTTACAGCACTGGCACTCCTGACCACTGAATGATAGACTGTCAAGCACATGAAGGGCACACCATGTCAGAGCGTGCCCAGCGAAACCGACGCCTGTTTCTCTCGGGACGGCACCCCGCCGACGAGGGGAAGGCCGCTCCTGGCCACGGACCCCGAAACCCGATGGGTCCGGCTCGTGAAGCCATAGTTTCCTTTTCTTCTGGGCACTGGCGGCCTCTGCCCTCTGAGGCCGCGCTAACTCTTGAATTCGGTGCCTTCGTAACAATGTTGGCCTTGTGTGCGGGTGGCCGAGATCCGTTTGGTGGGTCCCCGCATGCAACAGGGCATGGGTGGCACGTCCATTCGTGGCGCCCCTCCCATAGGTGGTCGTCTGTGCACTGCGCGACGTTCCCCTGCAGTGCCCTTTCCTCCTCCTCCTCCTCCTCCTCCTCCCCCCCTCCCTCCCTCCCTCCCTCCCTCCCTCCTCCTCCTCCCTCCCTCCCTCCCTCCTCCTCCCTCCCTCCCTCCCTCCCTCCCTCTCTGTCCCTCCCCGCGCCCCTCTGTTCGGCGGCCAGCCTGGGGGGACGTGAGAAGGTGCGGGCCTTCTCAGCAGGCTCGGAAGCCCCCCCGCGCCTTCTGAGAAGTTCTCTCCAAGCGCTCCCCGAAGACACCAACAGAACTCCTTAGAGGGCGCGAGCGCTTCTGAGAAGCCCCGCCGCCTTCTGAGAAGGACTTCTCTGGTGGGCTTGTTTTCCTTCGCCACCACCACTAGTAGGAGGGGGAGGGGGTCCTCCTCCTCCTCCTCCTCGTCCTCCTCCTCCTCATCCTCCACCTTCTGCCCCCTCCCCTTTCTGAACTTATGGTGGTGGTGGTGGTGGAAAACAGTCTCCTCTTCACTTCTCCCTGGGCGCGCCGCTGCATATCAGTCAAAATCGGCCCCTGGACTCCTCTGGACCCCTCCCGGGGTCCATCCGACGCGGTCTTTCACCCCGGATCGAGTTTCGGAGGTCCAGGGGCCCGAAAACGGTCCCCAGAGGCAGAAGGCTCGCCGCCGATCTCCCCTCTCCAAGGGAGGGGTCCTGCATGGCATCCGCCAGCAGCCCCACGCCGCTGCACCCGTCCCGCCCGCCCGCGCGCGCGACCTGCTGCAGGGTGGCCTGCTGCTGGCCGGGGCCCGCGCGGCCTCCCGCTAGGGGATGGGGAGGGGGGGATGTCCTCCACTCGGCGGCGAGCCCGGGGGGGAGGTGAGAAGGAGAAGGCCCTCTGAGGTGGCTCGGAAGTCCCCCGGCCTCCTGAGAAGGCTTCTAAGCCTTCCCCGAACACACCGAAAACTCTCCTCAGAAGGCGCGAAGCGCTTCTGAGAAGTCCCGCCGCCTTCTGAAGCGGCCTCAGATCCACAGGATTGCGTACAGTCAACCCGCATAATCAGGACGCACGACAAGGATGCGAGGGCCTTGGAAAGCCATGCCGACAATTTGCGAGCGAGCGAGGCTCGGCCAACGAGAGAGGCCAAGATGTTTTTCGTGTTTTTGTTCCAGCGCGATATTTTTAGGAGAAGGAGGGGCAAGCAGGAGGGGACGATAGCGGACAGCAAGAACGGACTCGGTGCGCGGGCGAGTTTCGCCACTGCTTAGGAGAACGCTCTCCCAACAAAATGTGGCTGTTTTCCCGCCGACGGGGGTGCAGAGAAGCGGAGGAGGAGGACAAGGAGGCGAGAGAGAGGCCAGAAATGCTCCTCCTCCTCCACCCCTTCCTCCTCTGGATCTGCCCTCTGCGGATTGAAATGTTTGTCTCTTCTGGGGGTGCGGTGCCGTGTCCAAGGTGACCTGGCGGGATGTCGCCCCCCGTCAGGTGACCTGATCGGCACTGCAAGCCGCCAATTTTTTCGCCACTGCCCGTCTGCTTCTTGTGACGGTGCTGCGCCCAGCCGGGGCCGGCGAGGCTGTGGTCCGCCACGAGGTGTGCCCCCGTCTGGCTCGAGTTGGTCCAGAAATGCTGCAGCAAGGCCAAGCATAGTAACAGTAACCGTGTGTCTCCTGGGGGCATCACGACTTGGGGGCCCCGGCTCCCCCGCCCAGCTGCTGGCGACAGCGGCGTCAGCCATGATTTAGTTGCTTGCGTTCCGATCGAGGGGGCGGTGGGGAGGGCCAAAGGCGGCTTCGCTGTGCTGCGCGCTCGGTCCTGGGACCGCGGCCTGATGCCCTTCCTGGAATCTGCCACGTGCGTCGGGCGTTCTTTGCAACACATCCTCAGGCATGAAGCCGCCTCGACCGCCGAGGCGACGGCGCTCGACGCACATCTTGTTTCGAATTGTTCACGTAAGGGGAACCTTGGGAAATCGCTCATCCTTCCAGTGCGGGTTAACTGTACGCAGCACCCCGCGACTGCGGGTAAGAATGATGGGGGCGGGCACGGGGTGGGTCGCGGGTGGGTCGCGGGGTGGGTCGCGGGGTGGGTCGAGGAGGGTCGCAGCGGGGTCGCGGGGACGACGACGACGACAAAAACTATCTTTTTGAGACTGCTCGCTCTTACTTGCTCGCGTGCCAATCAACATGTATATCTGTGTATCCCAAACCCTCGATACACACCCTCTTCGTCTTCGATCGTACCCACCCTTGGGGGTCTTACCTGCCACGTGTGTCGCATACCCTAAAACAAGAAGAGGATGGAGACAGGAAAACCATACAGCGAGGAGGAAACGAATGCGGGAAGGGAAGGAGGAAGGAAGGGGCCAAGGGGAGGGTGAAAGATGGAGCACGAAAGAAATTAGCAGGAGGGGGGTGGGTTAGGAGCAGGGACGCAAACGGCAAAACCAGACGTGCGGGTCGGGCGGGCGGACCGTAACGGGCGGGTCGGGCGGGCAGGCCAAGGCAGCCCAGTCGAGCGGGCGCGTCGCTGAAGCGTTAGTGCTGCATGAATCCCGAAGAAAACTCTAACGATACCCCGATTCCCACGTAAACCGTCAGGAAGTCCAGAGCGAGAGCATGATTCCTGAGTGTCGAGGGCGCCGCGTCTGAATAAATTGCGAAGACGTCCCAGGCGAGAGCGCGATTCATTGGAAGTCCCGGGCGCGAGCGCGATGTTTGAATGAGTTGTGCGGAACTATCAAGCGGGAGCCTGCTGAATATCAAATATCTAACAATTATTGATGTTCGACCCCCTATGTGCGCTTTGGCGCTCCCGCCTCAGCGCCAGCTACGTCTCCTTTCAAATTGAGGCTCACGCTCAAGCGTTTCGGGGGTGCCCAAACTGGCCCCCCAAAAAGAGCAACGGTCCTGCGCGATACCTCCTAACAATTTACTCCGCGAGATCTTGGCCAGAGAGGGTCCGAACCTTGCAAAATAGCACCACAAGGGGGTCCATCAAAGCAGTCTTGCTGCTACTCGCGGAAGCCAGAACGGCCGTTTCGCCTGAGACATCCTCGCAATTTAGCACCACAAGGGGACCCGTCAGAACCAAGCTGGCGCGCATGCAGGAAGGGCCTTTTCGCCAGAGACGTCTTCGCAACTCAGCACCACAAGGGGGGTCCTTCAGAACATGTTTGCTGCTACTCGCGACGCCAGAACGGTTGTTTCGCCTGAGACTTCCCCGCAATTCAGCAGCACATGGGGAATCTGTCAGAGCAGTCTTGCCGCTGCCTGCGGAGGCCCTACGAGGCCAAAGGACGCTCCAAAGGATATGTGTTCTGGGACAGCGTTCCGGCCCTCCCTCCCGCCCCCAGGAAGCCCCAGGAGGCATTGTCCGCATTGGGAACTGCGTTCGGGGAGCGCTCCTCGGCCCCTCTGCTCCCAAGATGCCCCAGGAAACTTTTCTGTATTGATATATGTGTTCGGGGAGCGCTTGTAGGCCCCCCCGCTTCCAGGACCCCCACGGGCTGTAGGCAAGTCCTTGCACCAAGTCAAGGCAAATACAGTCAAGACGCATGCGTAACAAGGATGCGCGGTAAGGATGCAAGGGCCTTGGAGGGCCATGTTGGCGTTTTCGAACGGGCGAAAGTCGTGAAGGATGGGCCGATGGGGCATGGATGCCAGGGTAGCCTTCGAACGCTGCTCATCCCTGCTATGCGACTTGAATGTAAGCCTTGCACCACGCGGTGCGCGAGCAGGATGGAAGAACACACAGACCGAATGCCCGCATGCTCCCCAGGCTCATGCTGCACCGAACGCGCTCCCACGCTCACGCTGCGGCAGTGAGCAGTGAGCAGGTGAAGTCTAAAATCCAGAGGGGGGGAGGGCGAGAGAAACGAGGTGGAGGGAGCGCGCCCTCCCACAGAAATATCAAGATGGGGGAGGGGGGAGGGAAGGGGGAAGGGACTGAGAGGGACATCCGAAAGGGGAGGGGGGGAGAGAGGGCCTCCCCAGGGGCAGAGAAGCGAGACAAAAAATCCACCGCGACCTGTTCAAGACGTTGGCGGGAAGGGCCCTTGTTGTCACCATTATCCTCCTCCTCCTCCTCCTCCTCCTCCTCCTCCTCCTCCTCCTCCTCCGAGAGAAGGAAGGCCAGTGGACAAAAACCTTTTAAGTCCTCCTCCTCCTCCTCCTCCTCTTCCTCCACCGTGGCTGTGCGAAAGCGCCAGGCCGCGTGAAGCCTGAGCCCCGCTCTGCCGTCCTTCCTCCTCAAGACGCCGCTCGCGCATCGCAGCCTGCGCGCCGGAGGATCTTCCGGAGGGCCACCAGCGACTTGGAGACGACCTGGAGGTCCTCCTTGTGCTCGCTGATGAACAGCAGCAGCGCCTGCCGCGCAGTCGTGGAGGATGACGGGGGGAGCCCCGCTCCGATTCCTTTTCCCTCCCCCTCCTCTTCCTCCCCCTCCTCCCTCCTCCACACTCACACAGTCTGAATACTACTCATCTCTCTCTCCCCCGAATCTGTGTTGAGAATGTCCGCCCCCCTTCGCGTCCGCCCCCATTCCCGCCGTCCATTGGCCCTTCAAAATGGTGCACCCGCAAACCTGTGGCCTCGTTTCCCAAATATGTGCTCTTCGATCTTGCGGGTATGCTGCAGCTTTGGCTTCTAATCTGAACTATTGTCGTCTTCCAATCCTGTTTCTGTGCGCCGTGTTTTTGCCACATGTGATCCTGGCGCCGAATCTGGCGCGTGAGGGTGGTAGACACCGAAGTGCCTCCAGCCTGTTCGAATCGCGCTGACGCTTCGGCGCCGACGGCCACGTTCATGCTGGGCTCCAGCTCTGGTGTTTTCACTCGCACTTTGCCTTGGCTTCCTGTTCTCCTCGTGATTCTCCACATTCCAGGTCCAACAGGTTCCGCAGGTCACCTTTGCTGCTGCGAGGGCGCCCTGCATGGGCAATGGAGCTCCGGGTCGGCTACGACAATCGCCCGTGGATAGAGAAACAATCAGCGCAGTGGGAAGGGATGGGAGGGGAGGGATAGGGTGTCACATGTGGCGCGAGCGCACCCGGCTTGTCCCCGCCCCCCTCTCTCTCCTCCTCCCCCAAGCCTTTCCGCTCTCCCTCCTCCTCCCCCATCGAGGCTACGGCCTCCGCGCCATGCCCCAGAGGAGCACGCACGACTCCGGCGTTTGCTCCGCTTCCCTCCTTCCCCCGCCCCCCCCGCCCCGGCTCTGGGGCCTCCACGGCGCCTGCCCGCTGCAGCTGCGCGCAGCATCCCTCGTGGACCACCAGGTGCGAGATGGCCCCGACTGCGGGCCGCGGCGCTGGCCGAGTGGGCCCCCGCGGCATCCACCACCCCAGGAGGGAGGAGGGAGGGAGGGAGGGAAGTGGAAGCGGAAGTGTCTGGTGCGCCCGCGCGGACCGTTGGGCAACGAAACTGATGCAGCCGGACGAAACGTTTGAGACGCCCCGAAGACGCACCAGACACACCACCAGGGAGGGCGGGTGGGCCACGCCGGCCGCGTTGGCGGCAGCGTGGCGTTGCGGCCACACTGCGCGCCCACGCTGCTGCCCTGGCGCCCACAGGGAAGACCACGCGAGGCAGGCTGCACCATGCCACCAACGAACCAGCCAGAGAGGCCCGACGGCGTGCCTGTTGGCACTCGCCGCGACGGAGCCTCCGCGACGAGCGCCAGGCTGCCCGCGAAAGAGGCCGAACCGAGGCCAGGCCTCACCCCCCGCAGCCGAGCGCGCACGGCCAACAATCAACGAACCAAACAGGGAGAGGAGAAGAGGAGTCGAACGAACCAACGCAGGACACACCACGAGAGAACAGCGAGAGGACAGCCCACCATCGGGCTGGCAGGGGAAGCAACACACGGCCCCCCTGGAGCGCGCGCCGGAACTTGCCACCCCGCCCTGGACCCGGGCGGCAAGGGGGCGGAACAGTCCAACGGCAAACGAATCGACGAATCGACGAATCCCCGAATGGAGATGTCCTCCCCAGAACTCAAGGTCAGGGATGACGGGGATTCCGACGGGGCCGCTGAATCCAGTGGGAGTGTCCGGTGCGCCCGTGCGGAACCTTGGGCAACGTAAGGTTGTCGTATTCGGGCCGCGGGGCACGCCGACGAAGAAAAGCGGGCCAGGCAAGGACAAGAAACGGGCAGGAGAGCGAGGAGCCGAGGGCAACGTAAGTGGTGCGGCCGGACGAAGCGTTCGAGAGACTCTGAGGACCGCTCGAGGCCACAGTGCTGGGGCTCTCGGCGACGCGTGGCCCACGGCACCCCAAGCCCACGGCACCGCCGCGCCCTCGCCCGCTCCGCGTCGCGCGGCGGCAAGCCGAATTGCTCATTACAGTCGGGGTCGATTGGAGAGGACAAGCACCAAGGCCAGGCTGACCGCGACGCTGCTTAAAGGGCGATGTTGGGAACATGGTTTTTGCGACCCCGAACTCGTGCAGAACAGGGTGGAGGAAAACAGGAACAAGCCTTTCCTATAGTGGAGTTGGCCACGAACCCCACCTACAATACCGAAACCTACACCGCCGTTGCCTACATCGCCGTTAGCGTGTCTACAGAAGCGAGGGAACTTTCCGAAACCCCACACTGCCCTAGAAATGTAGAAGGCGTGGGCCGCGAAACACAGGACACAAGGGCACCCTTGACTTGGCAGGATGGACCTACCAATCAACCTCGACTGTGAGCGTAAGAGGGGTTCGCGTGGCGAGGTCAGAATGGGCTGCCCTTCACTGGGGGCGGGGGGGGTGAAGCGCATTCGGGGGCGAGTTCGGTGCGCGTGGGGGGCGGAGTGACTTGGGAGGAGCGCTTGTTGAACAACTCGGAGTAATCTGGATCGGCGATACAGCGAACCGCTGAGATGCCCGCGCGGCCGGGCGGCGCGAAATTTGAGCGAGATTTGTTCTGAGGAGGAGTGAGCGGGAGGGAGGGAGGGGAGGGAGGAGGGAGGGGGGGAGTTAATGAGGAGGAGGAGATCCAACCGCCCTACGCGATGGGGCAAGGCCCCGCCTCAGGCCAGTCTGTCCTGTCCCTCCTCGTTTTTGCTGTCACGACCGTGTCGTCACGTCTTCATCATTGTCGCCACCCACTTTCGTCCCAATGTGGCATCAGCAACAGCTCTCCGAAACGTCACCGCTGTGCGTTTGGCAAAGGAAGAAGGAGGATAAACATATTCATAGCACTCATACAAAAAAACCTTAGTAGCAACAAGAAGAAAAACAATAATAACACAAACAGAAGAAAAAAAAAGGGAGGAAAACCAGGGTTTTTTTTCCCTGGAGTTCCTCCTTTTGTTTTTCCTCCTCTCTTTCTCCTCCATACTAACCGTTGTCTCCACAATGCTTGCGAATCCATATCCGCGACGGTGCCCTCGAGGCACGAGATGGAATGCCCTCAAGTCCTCTGCGTAACCCCCTAAGCCTCAACCCTCAAGCCAGAGGATCATTCTCTAAGGGCCCCCCCCGGACCACAAATTCACAAACATGGTGTGACCTGTCGCGCACCCGCTGGGCTCACCCTTAATTTTCGCATGATTTGTTCAAAACCAAGGGGGTTCCCAAGACCGCCCAAGAGGCCCCGGAAAGAGGCCAACCGGAGGGTCTCCAGCGGTGCCCCGAGGCGCTGCACGAGCAGCCCGAGACGCTCGAGATGGCCCGAAACGCCCACGTACGAGACACCTCAAGAGGCCTCCAAGAGCTTCCCCGAGAGGCCAAACTCATTGGTTGAGTTGTTTGTACGATGCTTTTGGGTTCCTCGACTGTTCAAGCTTCCAACGCTCCAGCCCCCAACGCTCCCGACATGGCGCATGCTGAATCGATGAAGAGAATGAGGGCCATGACGGTGTCCACGCAGGGCTATTCGCCACCGTTGCAGCGCGGGGCGCCGCGGCCCTTATCTGGACACCGGGAGGGGCCAACAAAGAAACGCGGGCCCGGCAAAGGGCAGAAACGGGCAAGGGGGAAAGGAACCGAAAAGCGAGACGGGGAGGAAGAAAGGGAAGGAGGACGACGGGAAAGAACAGACCGGGCAGACAGGCGGACAGACGGAGAGAAGGGGGAGCCAAGCAAAAAGGATAGGGAAAACACACAACGCACAAAGGCAAAGAAGCACGAGGGCAAAGGGATGACACGGAGAAGGAGAGAGAAGGAGGAGGAGAGGAGGCCGGGGCTAAGGCGAGAAAAAAGGCGGGCCGAAAGGCGCACCGCAACGTCAGCGCAAGACGAAAATTGCCGGCTCACTGAGCAGCCTGGCCAGGAGGGGGGAGGGCGAAGGAGGAATGGGAACGGCCTGCGCTAAGCCCTCATCCTCCTCAGCCAGAACATACCTGGCCGTTGCGACTGCTCCCGAAGCAGGGGCCTCCTCCACCTGCCGTTGGAGGATGGCGCGGGCGGAGGCCCTCAGGATGGCCACGGACACCTGCTGGAACAGGCGCGTCGCCCCAGTGCCCGGCTCCTCGCCCAGGCGCGCGTCGCTGGCCCTCGCAAGGGGACGGAGCGTATCGGCCCCCGTCGGGCCCCAACCGCCCGTTGGCTCTGCGACCAAGGGGATGAAGAGCAACCCCTGTTTCGGGGAGACGTAAGACTCGGGTGCGGGGGACTCGGGTTGGCCCGACGGGGCCTACATAAAATGACGAGGCCCAATCTGAAATTTGACGCGAGCTCCCGCTGCAAACATCCCACGAAAACTGGACCGTCAAAATCCAAGACGCGCTCGTCAAAAAAGCGTCGGCAAACCCGAGTTCCGGCTTACTCGGGTCTTGCGTTTCCCCGACTGTTGTCTGCAGAGAGCCGATGTGTCGAGGTGGGTGCGCATGACCACCTCGCACGCCCCGGCGGCGCCCGCAACCCCTTGGAAAGCCAAGCCCCGGGCAGCCCGCCGATGCGGTGACGAAGCCGCGGAATCGAAAGCGGCAGGCGTGCCTAGGTGCCAGCTCGGGATGCACGCGCCGGCGGGGCGGCGCCCGATGGCGCGGTCGTCGCCCGGGCGTGGCGGCGGGAGCACTGGCCTCTCCAGCTCCTGATTGCAGCCAGCTGAATCGCCCGACCAAATTGCGCGCAGCGGTGCCGGCAAACCCGATCCCCCGCGCGCCCGCGCACAAGCCCACGCGTCGCCCACGCCGGTCGCGCGGCTCGTCGCAACAGGGGCAGAAGTGGTCCGCGTTGTAGACCTGCAGCAGAAGCCGTTTCCTGAGTTCGGTGAGGAACGCCTCCGGCTCGCAGAGCAGCCCCAGAATCTCGCTGGGCGCCACTTCCAAGGAGCTCGACGGGCCCGGGAGAAGCTCGGACAAGATGTCCGCGCGGTCGGCCGCCCCGAGGTTCTCCAGGAGGTTTCGGCGCCAATAATCGTCGAGTGCGGCGGAGAGGTCCTTTTTGGGCGGTCGTCTCGAGTGCGCCTGGGAGCAGCGCAGCGGACTGCGGGAGCTGCGCGTTGTGCGTAGAGAGCAGCCCAGCCTGCGTGCCCGTGTCCTCCGGCGCCCAGCTGCACGCCGGGTCCAGCTCCGAGAACCGCTCAGCGCCCAGCGGCGTGCCTGGCATTGAAGGGCCTTCTCCTGGGAACCCCATTATAGAATCTAAATCTTTGTTCTGCCAGCATGGCGGCCAGCGCGGCCGGTGCGGCGTCGCGGGCCATCAGCAACCGAGAGAAGGTGGCCCACGCATCCGTTGAGCTCGCAATCGAACCAAAATACCAAGCTTCCAGCAGTAGCCAGGGTTTCATAACGACGGCCGTGGCATCGTCAGAGACAACCAGCCCCAAGCACGCCCCCAGAAGAGCGGCCACCAGCATCCAGCCGCCGAGCCGTAAGCCTGCCCAGAGGTGCGCGCTCCAGGCCGTTCGGGGCCGAGGCAGCTGGACGACGGCGGGCGCCAGGCTCCTCTCTGCCAGGCCGCGGTAGAACGCCTCGTGCGCGGAGCGCTCGTCCCACGAGATCGCGGCTGTCCCACGCCGAAAGTCTGGCGATGCGGAGCGGAACCCGCGTTGCTCGAAGATGAAGGTCTCGAGGTAGAAGTTGCGCCGGCCCGGCGCCTGCATCCTCGGTCGCCTGGCTGGAAGCGGGCGCGCGTGAGCCGCAAGAAAGCGCGCCTCTCCTCCGCCGCGAGGCTGCACTGGAGTCGCCGAGCCCCTGGTGCGCCTTCCCGGCTGTGCGGAGGCCGTCCTGCGGGCTGGAGCGGGCACGCCTTGCACCATCCCCACGGCTGGCCGCGGGCCACTGAGATGCAGCCGGCGATGACTCCCAAGCATCGCAGAAGCTGCCTCTGACCTCCCATGATGGTGCGAGGGGTGCCGTGGAGGAGAGGGGGAGGAAAGGCGCATGGAAGGCAAGGGCGGGGGGGGCCGCGCTTGGCCCGCTTGCGCTTGCGCTTGGCCCGCTTGCGCTTGAGCCAGCACAACCTTGAGCCAGACCCAAGACCTCAAGAGACCTCAAGACCGCACCAGGACGCCCGATGAGGGCCCCAAAATGGCCCAAGAGGCGCCCAGGATGGCCCAAGAGGGCCCCAAGACGGTCCCAAGATGGGCACAAGAGGAACAAACCGAACCGAGAATCGGAACCTTCTGCCCCAAGAGGCACAGAGGCGGCCCCAAGGTCCCCAAGAGGCCCCAAGAGGTCCCTAAGAGGTCCCCACAAGGCCCCGAGAGGCTCCCAAGAGACCCAAGAGTGGCCCCAAAAGTCCCTAAAGCAGCCCCCCAGAAGCATCAAAACTGCCTCCAGGAGGCTCCGGAGAGGCCTCGACGAGATCCCGACGAACATTCGTCAGGCATCAGACCCACAACCCAGGCACAGTGATGGAATGGGCAGAAGGCCATCTGATATGTATATAAAATTACACAAAAGGGACATTGTCGTCAGCTTACCCGTCGTCGTCGTCGTCGTCGTCGTCGTCGTCTTCGCCCTCCTCCTCCTCCTCCTCTTCTGCTTCTGCTTCTGCGTCTTCTTTTGATTCGTAAATTTTGATATTATTGATATGATCCCTCATCCTCCTCCTCCCCCTCCTCCGCCTGTCTCGCCTTGCAAACCTCGCCGACCAGAAAGACACTTCTTCATACCATGAGCAGCAGGCGCCTACAACAAATTAGGAACTACTCGGCTGGGGCACGGAGGGAGGAGAGGGGTCAGGCAGAGGAGGCAGAGGAAAAGACGGAAGGGAAGGGGAAAGACTTGTCCAAGCCTGCAGCTCGAGCCAGGCAAAAGCCCCCGAAGGAGCTTTGACCGCTCGAAAGATCGCTTTGGGTTCAAACAAGGTCTGGACAGCTTGTCGGACTTCACCGACACAGACACTCAAGAGAACGTGCAACAAATCACAGGCACATCCGTCTGCTACACCCAGGCCCAGTGCAGATTATGCCCCGCCCCAACCCTGAGACCCCATTACGTCCATTGATTTTTGGTGTGGGAACGTCACGCTTTCCATCGCAAAATAATCGAAACCCAAGGAACCCAGGGCACCCTGGAGGCGAGCAGGGTGTTTCTTGGTATGGATATCGCCACTGTAAGAGGGCTGATAGAGTGGGCGCAAAAGACTGGCACGTGGTGGTGGTCCTTCCCGGGACGATCCTGAAACAAGAGAGACACCTCATCACATCCCCGTGGTGAATGGGGTTGCGGGAGGGGCCCAGAGTCTTCGCCACCACCTTGGGTCTGCCAGGTCTGGGGAGACCGCCGACTTGAATTTCATGAGGCGGCCAGGCCTCAAGGATATTACCCACACCGGTGACTGAACTCCTGTATTCAGTCTCGCCCGCTTCGAAACTTGGAGCTCGTGCGGCGAAAGATCGTGCATCTGAGCTCCTAACTTTGCAAGGTGATCTGAGAACGTGGAAGCTGCCATGTTCATATTATAATTGAAGTCGGTGGCTCTTGCCCCGCCTGCTCCTTCTCGTCCTCGTCCTGCTTCTACTCCCTCTCCCTTCGACCCGCGTCCTTCTGCGTAACTCCCTGTCGCACCACCAGACATGTCGGTAGGAAGGGCCACTCGCATGAGGCGTCGAACGTCTCCAGGCGCCCTCCAGATACCGCAGCAAGGGCCCATTCGCACATGCCTCTCACTATTGCCTGAACATGCGAATTCTCGGGACGACGAAATGCGTCCGTGAGCTTGTTTGTACACGTCCTCACCAAGTATGCTCCGCCTACACGGACGGAGAGCGATTCATTTTCAACATTGGAACTCTCGCTTCAGCGCCGCGTGCAATTGCTCCTTTTCAGAGGTGAGATCTCGCATTTGCGCCATGCACACTCGCCTAGAAGAATTGCAGCAACTACAAGAAAATGGAGGGCGGCTGATTTGTCAAAATGAGCTCTCGGCCTAGCGACGCGCCCACTAGTCCTTCAGACAATACAGCAGTTGCACATATGAAAGGCTATGCTGTTGCTTAAGTCGTCCTCAACTGTGAAACTGCGGCACGAATGGAGGACGGCTCCTTTAAAACATGGGTTTTCGCTGGATGCGTCCTCAATTCTAGCGGCCGTAAACTTGAACATACGGGGAACTGTACGGATGAAGGGCGGTGTTTTTTCAAGAAGGAACTCCTGCTTGAAAACTTCAATCGAATGTGGCAGAAAGAGACGTGGTATCGTCCAACAGTTACGCGAATGGGGCGCGGCTCCTTTCCAGCATGGGGCTCCGTTGAACACTCCGTTGAACGCTATGCTTAGACATCATCGCACTCCGTAGATTCTCTCAACGTATTCAAAACAGTTCTTGTTCAAACCGAGCCCGCCTGAATGGCAGGTGCTCCGTATGTTCCAAAGGACAGCTTGTGGGGGACGTGTGAAGGGAGAATTTGAATGGAAGGGTGCAACGCAGCATCGTTGATGCATCATGGGCTTACTCTGGTCAACCTCCTCCTCCTCCTACTCCTCCCTCCTCCTACCCCTCCCCTCTCCTCCTGCTCCCACTCCGGCTCGGAACTAAATGTCCTCATGCTCTCCCCCTCTCGTCCCCCTCGTCATTCTCCCACACCTCCTCCTCCAGCTGATAAATTGTATGATGATGATGATGATCCTCCTCCTCCTCCTCCTCCTCCTCCTCCTCCTTCTGCTCCTCCTCCTCCTCCTCCTCCTCATCCTCCTCCCTCCTCCCCTCCCCCAGACGACGGCGGTGGAGACGGCGAAGGACGACGCCGCCCCAGCCCCTGCGCTCCTGCGTACTCGATGACGTTCTCGTTGCTGATGAACACCCGCGAGGCCTCGAGGAGCGTCTGCGCTGGAGAGCGTGTTTACGTTGCACGGGCTATGATCTTAGGGGCCGCAACGTCAGGATTGAGTCGGCCGACCCCTCGTGGGTCTCTAGGCGTGTGAGATGATTCCCCCCATAATCGCCTACAAGGGCCAGGAAACCGGAAATGTGACCCCCCCACAGGCCTCCCACGACCGCCGGCCGAACTCATCAGGGGAATGGGGCCGGGCCCTCCACGAGCGGGTCTGGCTCTCCCCGCCCCAGAATGGCCCCCGAAAGCTCCAAGACGACATCGAAATCTGATGACGCCCAAGATGGCCCCCAAGGCGGCCCATGAGGCACCCAAAAAGCCCCGAAGGGGCCTCCAAGACACGTCATAAGAGGGCCCCAAGGCCCAGACCATCAAGCTCTCTCCGGGACACGTACAGCGTTTGCATGTGCGACTTTCCAGCTTTCCGACGCCCCAAGACGGCTCAAGAGATCCCCGCAACCGCCCCAAGACGGCCCAAGAGCCCCCAAGAGAACCCCAAAACGGCCCACGAAGATCCCGAGACGGCCCGAGAGGCGCTCAGCTCAAGACGGCCCAGGAAAGCCCTAAGACAGTCCCAAGAGAAGGAGACCGAACCGACAATGCGAGCCGTCCGCTCCAACAGGCCCCCAAAACGCCCCAGTAGGCGCCAAAACGGCTCCCAAGATAGCTCAAAACTGCCCCCCTCAGAAGCTCTCCTGAGGCCTCCCACGATATCACAACGAACATTCAACAGGCCTCTGACCCACAACCCGCGCACGGTGACACTCAGAGGGGTCGGCGGATGTGGCGCAAGCATGTGGAATCATATTGCACATCACCGACTTTGGCGAGGCAACCTAATACACAAAATACCCTAGCAAAGCACCCTAATAGCGACAAAAGATGCAGCCGGGACAGGGGTGAGAGCACAGCCATGTGCACCTTAGGGTATGTTTTACAAGAAGGGCTGTGGCCGTCCAGACCAAAAAGTAGCTGGCATTGAGGCGAGAGCACGATTCCTCAGTTCGCTGGCCCAACGGGCCAGAGGCGTGCCAAAATCTCAAGTAAGAGTTTCAGAATGTTTCCACCTCGCGCGCGCGTGGCAGCCCCTGGGGGTCCCCCCGGCGAAAATTACCCTGGCAAGGTCCTGGCAAGGTCCCGGCAAGGTCGGGTCACGGATGTCGGAACTCTTGGGCGCAACCCTGGAAGCCCCCGAAACCCTGGAAGCCCCCGAAGCGCCCCAGGAGCGCCCCAAGGAGGTGCCAAATAGGTGGCAATCCATGGGAATCCCAAGGAAATCTTGGGGAACCGAATCAATTGGCCAGAAGCCGCAGGAATCGTAAAGAACCCGCAAGAATCCGAAGGAATCATCAAAATCCATATGAGTTCTCAGGAGCCCGTGGGAATCCCTGGGAAACCTCAGGACTCTCAAGGAATCGCTTGGATTCCGGAGAAACGCCGAAGAATCCTCCAGAATCCATGGGAACCCACGGGCACCTTCGGGAATCTATAGGAATCCCCCAGAATCCATGGGATCCCCAGGAATCCTTCTGAATTTTTGCAAATTCCAGAAGCCCCCCGAAGAACTCATAGGAATAATATAAAGGAATCCTTCGGACCCCTAGGGAATCCCAAAGAATCCTCAGGAATTCAATGGAACCAGTATGAAGTCATAGGATTCCAGGATCCATCGGATTCCCCTGAAAAATTCTAGGCTGAGGAACCCTCAGGAATCTGAAGGAATCCGCAATAATCCGTATGGATGCATATGAACTCAAAGACATCCCTTGGAATCCCCAGGATGAAATCGGAATCCATGGGGATCCTTAGGAATCCAAGCAAAACCCTCAGGAGTCCATCGGGACCCTCGGGATCCTTAGGAAACAATGGGAACTCAAGAATACATCGGAATCCGTCGGAAGCCCCAGAATCCCTAGAGATCCTCAGGAATGCTTGCGAATCCGTAGAAATCCCCAGGGAACCCTAAGGAATCTAAACCCGTAGGAATCCATCGGAACTATTCGGAATCCGTCGGAATCCCTAGGGACCCCAGGAATCACCAAGAATCCATGGGAATCCTCGGGCTGAACTGCCCCCCAAGATGGCATGTGAATGCGGCTTCCTCTTCAAATCTGAAAGATGCAAATCGCACGCTCCATTTCACGACGCAGCGCCGGGTGGGCATTGAGCCCGCCTTTGCGCGGGCGCGAGCGCGAAGAGTCTGAGATGATCCTGAGAGGCTCCGGAGAGGCTCCCAAGGGGCTCCTCCGATGCTTCTGAGAGGCTGCTGAGGGCGGCGCTGATCGCACCTCGTGTAGCCGAATCCCACCTCCGAATCTTGCCTGCGGCGGCCGCGTTCCTGCTCCGAATCTTGCCCATCGACGTCCCGAATGGGGCTCCGAATCGCGCCGCGCAAGGGCTCCGAATCTTGCCCGTCGACGCCTCGGATGGTGCTCCGCACTGTTAAAAACAAGACCGAAGATAATTCACCCAACTTTCGCTAATAATTCGGCCGATGTGAAACTGCCATCTTTCGGGGCAGCTTTCGGTGGCCTCGTCCGGTGGCATCTCGGGGGGCAAGCCCAGCGCGCGCGGGTGGCCTGTGTACTTGGGGCCCCGCGGACCCCGCGTCCAGAGCCCTCGACTCAAGGGCGCAGATCTCCTTTGATTCTGGGGCCAGGGCCCACGGACTCCGCGGCGGGGCCCAGGCGAGTCGGGGCCCGACCATGCGCTGCGGCATCGCGAAGAGCGTCCAGCAACGCCAAAGAAACCGCGCGCGAGAACGACATCGAGCAAACAAATAAGCAACCCGGAACATAGCAAAATTCACAGACGTTTCGCTTGGGGCCCTGTTCAGCCCGAGTATTTCAGACACCGCGCGGCGAGCGTCGATCCCCTCAGCGGTATTTCAGACACCGCGCGGCGAGCGTCGATCCCCTAGCGGTATTTCAGACACCGCGCGGCGAGCGTCGATCCCCTCAGCGGTATTTCAGACACCGCGCGGCGAGCGTCGATCCCCTAGCGGTATTTCAGACACCGCGCGGCGAGCGTCGATCCCCTCAGCGGTATTTCAGACACCGCGCGGCGAGCGTCGATCCCCTAGCGGTATTTCAGACACCGCGCGGCGAGCGTCGATCCCCTCAGCGGTATTTCAGACACCGCGCGGCGAGCGTCGATCCCCTAGCGGTATTTCAGACACCGCGCGGCGAGCGTCGATCCCCTGAGCGGTATTTCAGACACCGCGCGGCGAGCGTCGACCCCCTAGCGGTATTTCTCGGGCTGAACTGCCCCCCCAAGATGGCATGTGAATGCGGCTTCCTCTTCAAAACTGAAAAATGCAAATCGCACGCTCCATTTCACGACGCAGCGCCGGGGGGGCATTGAGCCCGCCTTTGCGCGGGCGCGAGCGCGAAGAGTCTGGGAGAAGCTCCCAAGGGGCTCCTCCGATGCTTCTGAGAGGCTGCTGAGGGCGGCGCTGATCGCACCCCATGTAGCCGAATCCCACCTCCGAATCTTGCCTGCGGCGGCCGCGTTCCTGCTCCGAATCTTGCCCATCGACGTCCCGAATGGAGCTCCGAATCGCGCCGCGTAAGGGCTCCGAATCTTGCCCGTCGACGCCTCGGATGGTGCTCCGCACTGTTAAAAACAAGACCGAAGATAATTCACCCAACTTTCGCTAATAATTCGGCCGATGTGAAACTGCCATCTTTCGGGGCAGCTTTCGGTGGCCTCGTCCGGTGGCATCTCGGGGGGCAAGCCCAGCGCGCGCGGGTGGCCTGTGTACTTGGGGCCCCGCGGACCCCGCGTCCAGAGCCCTCGACTCAAGGGCGCAGATCTCCTTTGATTCTGGGGCCAGGGCCCACGGACTCCGCGGCGGGGCCCAGGCGAGTCGGGGCCCGACCATGTGCTGCGGCATCGCGAAGAGCGTCCAGCAACGCCAAAGAAACCGCGCGCGAGAACGACATCGAGCAAACAAATAAGCAACCCGGAACATAGCAAAATTCACAGACGTTTCGCTTGGGGTCCTGTTCAGCCCGAGTATTTCAGACACCGCGCGGCGAGCGTCGATCCCCTCAGCGGTATTTCAGACACCGCGCGGCGAGCGTCGATCCCCTAGCGGTATTTCAGACACCGCGCGGCGAGCGTCGATCCCCTAGCGGTATCGATCCCCTCAGCGGCGCGCGGCGAGCGTCGATCAGACACCTCGAGCGGTATTTCAGACACCGCGCGGCGAGCGTCGATCCCCTCAGCGGTATTTCAGACACCGCGCGGCGAGCGTCGATCCCCTAGCGGTATTTCAGACACCGCGCGGCGAGCGTCGATCCCCTCAGCGGTATTTCAGACACCGCGCGGCGAGCGTCGATCCCCTACTTAGCGGGCGGGGCGACTTGACGACTTGTATGTCGTTTATGCGCCAAGTTAAGATAAAGTTAGGCGCCAAGTTACATAACTCGACCACAACTAATTGTTTAGAGCACGCGCGAGTTATAAGTGCGCATAACAACCAGTTAGCTAACTGCCATAACCTTTTAATTTTCGCAATTGTTCTTGTGCTGGTTGTAAAACCCAGCAACTAAGTTAGGGCTAACTCGTTAGTTGGCACAACGTTATGTTAACTTTATCGTTACTCTGTAACCCTTCATAACTTTTTCATAACTTTTTCATAACTTTATAACTGTTTCATAACTTTTTCATAACTTTTCCATAACTTTTCAGAGGTTTCCAAAAGCGGCCCAAGACGGACCCCAGACACCCAAGATAGACCCGAAACAACCTTCCAAGACAGCCCTCCGAGACGGCCACCCCAAGACACCCCCCCAAGACATCCTCCCGTCAAAAGCCCAAGGCGGATCCAAGACATCCCAAGACGGACCCGAGACAACCCTCCAAGACAGCCCCCCAAGATGGCCCCCCCAAGAAGCCCCCAGGAGGAGGGAGGGGGGAGGGGGGGGAGGAGGAAGAGGGGGGGCGGGAGGGGGGAGGAGGAGGCAGAGGGAGGAGGGAAGGGGTGGGGAGG